AATTATAATTAATTTTTCGATTTGAGAAATTAAAAAGATGTTTGATTAAAATATAATAAATGCCTGAGAAAATTATTATACACGTAACAACAATATTTTTCATTTTCAACTGCGAATCGCACGCAACAAGGTCCGTGCGCCCACATTTGAAATTGGAATGCACATTCCCGAGCGGCGTTGGATCTTGTTGCACGGTGACGCAGTTGGAGGATGCAAATTGAGGTGCAGTCGCGCTTTAAGTGCATAGTTACCTGCCTCGCACAATTAGAAGATGCGAACGAAAATGGTTGTTCCGTGTGGGTGGCCGCGGTTTTCCGAGATTTTTGCCGCAGGCTTCAAAATTGGCGATGACTCTGCGGCAAACTCCAGATTCATATAACATGACGTAATTTGCAAACAATTAATCAATCTTATCGCAGCAGTGATTCGATCTTTATACCGCATGACGTTTTCTGTTTGATTAATTAGTCAGTCAAAGTTAATCAATTTCACTAAATAAAAATAAATCCCAAACGTAATTATTTGAAATCTCAGTGCATGCTTATTAATGATTTAAGAAATGCTTATATTTTTACGTTATCTAATATTGAGAAAAAAGGAAAAGAACTCATTTTTTTCAGTAAAATTTCGATTTTTAGTCATTTTACATTGAATTATTTTATTAATTATATTATTACCTTTAAATAATTTGCTATTTTTTGTAAAAAATGTCAGTATTTTCTGAGATACATAAAATCGTTTGTACTGACGAATGCCTTGATAAGTTGCCACAATTGTCGCATAATACAGTGGAAACTAGACACTTGTCAGCGTGTCACTTTTCCGAAAGGGTACACCTTTTCCAACTCGAATTAAGAGCGTGATACACCTTCGGCCGTCAAGGTGAACTGGAATCGAGAGCCATGTGGGTGTCGAAAAGAAGCCTACTAACTTAATAATTGTACGTGTTCGTTAGTACTCGCGCTTAATATGAAACAATTCCAATTACAATTTAATTTAGACGAAATTCTTTTTACTTCTTTAACAATTGGAAATAATATTGGCTTCACGAAAGTTTTATTTTATTTTAAAGATAAACTTGATATAAAAATTCTTCTATTTAGTGTTTCTTTATACTTTTTACTTTCTTCATAATCTTTATAAATTCAGTTCAGATTTTGATTTTACTTTATACAAATAAAGAGATACTACAGGGAGTGAAAAAACGAATGTTACTTTTGTTTTTATTGATTATAGTGAGATTTTATTATTCATTGTAGACGTCTAGACTGCAAGTACATGCAATGTAAGATGGAATTACAGCTCCATCTCGTTGCACATACAAAAGCCACGATTCTAATAGTGTTTTTGCTGATGATGCAGAGATTAATTAAAAACACCAGCGTGTAAGATTGTGAATGAACTTACCGACATAATGTTTCCATTGTATTATTCGCTAATCGTACCATGCAGTGAGATGACGCACTTCCTGCATGTTTCTTCAGTCGTGACATTTTGACTTGAGATTTAATTTGAGAAAATCATATTAAGCTCTGCACTATACAAGGGAAGCTTCATATCCCTAAGTAACTATGCGTCTACTGATTCTCACAATGATTTTCGTTATTATTTATGTTTATTTTAACAAATATTATCAAATATTATATAATTTTTATAATTTAAGATTTTATACAAAATGCTGAAGTGAAACGTGTTATCTGTTATAAGTTGACTGTGACTCACTTCAAGTTCTCGTTCCTAGTAATGGTAAATAAATATCTTTTTTCCCCTTTCGTTCGTTCCCTAAAGGCACGATCTTTTTTAGTCAGAATACCAATTGCGGAGCACAGGAAAACATACGAATGAATCCATCCTTTTACCGAGAATACAGACTGACTGTTAACATACACAATGTTCTATTTTAAATTCGACATTCCTAAGAATCCGAAATTATTTATACAATAAGAAAACATTCTCCAATTCGATGTGCGAATATTTTGAAAGAAATTGAAGTTTTTATTAAATGCAAAGCGTGTGGTAAGAAAGAATCTGAGATAAAAATAACGTATTTATTAATAGAACCAGAAAACAATGAGTCAGAGATAAGCGAAGATGGTATCTTGCAATATATGAGAAAGTGAAGATTTTGAAGATAATATAAAAAATATTCCACTATGTAAAATGTCCTAAAATGTATTTAAATAAAAATCTGCGACTGTTATCGATTAAATAAGAATAGATAACTTCTGAATCGGCCCAGATAAAAGCTACGCTTTCACAGGTTAAAGTTACCCAGTGATATGCATAAGCTACACTCGCGATAACAATACGAGAGGTAAAACGCAGAGTGGAACGCGTGAGTGGAAACGAATGGAATGTCGAGAAGACAACGGCGGCTGTCTGGATGACAGTGTAACGCGCGAGGTAGGCCGTAAAGAGAAGAAAGTAGAGCTGGCAAGGGCAGAGCAGGCGAAGTTGGCACACGACCCGATTACAAGGTCCGCCAGGGTCACCACCGCGCCGGTGTTCTCCCGCAGTTTTGCGCGACAAACCCATAAGGTTTGACCTAATATGGAGACCTGGACTTTACGAATGCCACCGGTCTGGTGGGGATCCGTGCGGAGAGCTCCTTTGAGGCCTTCAAGTCGCTCTCCTCACACGGAGTCCCCCAGTACCTCACCGGACGTGTGTTACGTCGCATACGCGTTTCCATGCACAATTCACGATCACGTTTCCGTTCCGTTCGTCTCTCAACGGGAAGAGCGAATTTTGTCAGTGAGCTCTGTGAGATTTAAAGAAAGAAAAATTATTCGACTCGAATCATTGCGTTACGAACGACAGATAAGAAGTTCTGAACAATTTTGATAATCATTGTTAAGTGGTTCATCAGCTGACCAGTGCCTTTCGTAAGTCTTTGAGCGAACTGCGACACGTTTCTTGTCGTCAGTAGATTCTAATACTCCATAGCAAAAGAAATCGTTGAACCGTGACATAAAAACCGGTATAAACAAGTGGCAGGAAGTCTAGTAGTAACTATGCGGTGCGTCAACGGAATTCAGTATATGCGCCGCGTCGACAGGAACTAGCAGCCGCGTTGCCAATCTCCGGGAAACCGTAAAAGATCCAGCTGCTGTTAGATCAATCACCGGTACCGGCGTCGACATGTCCGCGCACCAGCAGGCGGCTATTCGCCGTTTGGAGGCTTTGTTCCGAGACGTGAAGCTGGAACAGCAGCAGAACAATCCGGAGATAGTGAAACTAGAGATAGACTCGAGTTGCTGTGACATTCATGGCAAACACGCCAAAGAGAATTGCTGGAACCGAAGAGGTTCCGTTGGTAATGCGTATCAGACCAGGCGAGACTCGTTCGGTCGTCGCGACGGTTACCCAGGGACATCTCCGAGCAGAAGAGGTTCCCTTGGCCTGCCGATGTCGCCACCGAAAAAAGAACTTCATCCTTCGTGCTTCCCTAACACGTTGAGAAAAAATCCTCTGGTTTCGTCCATGAGTTCTATCAATCATACCAAGAAAGATATCCACGCGTCCACGTTAAGTAACTCATCGCTACGACGAGATCCTGTTGGCCGGTCAATGGGATGCCTGAAGAAGGACACAATGTCGAATTATAATTCTCCGTTGCGACGAGATTACGTAGCAAAATCGATGACAAGCCTTCAGAGGCCGCCTTCGCGACGAGACACTAGCAACTTGTCTAGCCTTTTCGCGTCGTCTCCATTGTCACAAAGTCCACTGAAGTCTAGCTTGAGTTCGTCAAACAGTGACCTTAAAGCAAGAAGCACGTCGAACTTGAAGAGCTGCCTGGCAGGATCCAGCGGGAATTTGAGGAGCAATTTGAACGTGACGCTCAGCACTGACCATTCCATGGGCTCCAACGGGAATTTAAAGAAGGATGGCAAATTCGCCACACCGGTTTCTGGGCGTAGGGGCTCCTACGATAGGAGGCGGCTCTCTACTGACTCTTTGGATAATACAAAGAGAAACTCGTGGGATCCGGGTCGCAGGGGCTCTTCTGGATCATCCGGAGGATGGGACGATCCTATTTGGGAAGAAGGAACGTTTGACGCCGGCATCAGTCAGGTAAAACACTTCGAGTATTCTGTAAGGATCGAGACAAACCTGGTTTACAAACCACTTCGTAAATCGAAGACTAAAGGAGAATAGTTTCTTACAAGTTCATCCAAACAATTGCGGTCTAAGACAATCGGCATCAAATGTCCTGACAGACACGAGCAGTAGATCAGAAAGAATGACACGAGCTTTGTTGTCTGCTGGATGCTTTCCCCACGAGACGAAGCAGACAAGAGAAACCATCTCGGTACCCTTCGGTGAAAACGCGCTGCTTGATTGTCGTTGCACGCGCGGACAGAATTTATCGTTCCTTGTTAGGAGGCGTATTCAGCTGGCCGTGGGAATGCCAGTTCTTCCAGTCAACGCAGTTAGGTATTCGCGATTGAATTCGAAATTTATCGCGGAAGCAATATCTGGATTCCTCGCGAACGCGTTACTTTTTTTTCTCTCAATAGGTCCTGGCTATAAAAGTTGCAATGGAACGTCGCGTACTTGGCGACAGGAGCCGTAATACTTTACGATACTTTCATCTGTCGTTAGAAACGTTCTAAGCGTTTCGCGAAAGCGTTGATTTACGATCGTTTGTTGACCACGCGACTTTTGTTAATGCTACACGACATTAAGGCGCTTTACATACGGCGCCGTGCTGGCACATGCAAAGTGTTTGCCTGCGTGTACTTGCGTCATCGACATGCCTCGCACGGTATGGATACGCTGTTAGTCATCCGCTGATTATGAAAGCGCTCGCTGCATCTGCGTACCGATCGATCCTATTAAACTGCCTCTACTTTACACGTAGCTTCATTAACCCGTTCGCACTTGGAAAGTATTTTAACAACGTCTCTCGACTTAAAAGTATAGTGTACCCTATTGAAAACTGTTGAATTATGTGAACAATTTAATACCTTATGCTAAATCGTAGGTCTAAACAGAAAAAATTGCATAATAATCTATTAGGATATTGAGTCAGAATATATCAGGAATTCATTTATTTTTTTTGCTTCTTCGTTCCGAGATGCTGCGTCTCTTGTCGTTAAATGAATTTCATTATCTTTGCTTCTAAGAACAAGCATCATAGTTATTTACAACCTGCCTCGTCCATTAGCAAATATTTGTATTCCTAGTCCATCGTGGACTCTTCGAATGCATTTCACCTGTTGAATACCGTGGCTCGATTCGTTAACTACGTAATTTCTATTCCCTCATCGCGCCCAGGTGATTGACATTTGTAAACCGGGAATCGACTTTTGTTTCCCGTGTGAAATCGAGCACACTTACACGAATTTTTATTGTCGAGAAACTCTTCATTTTCATGCGCCACACCTCTATTAAATAGATAAATGTTCCGACGTGCGTACATCAATTCAGACATACATACGTCACGGTGTAATTACCATATCATGATACGACACATTAACGTTAAGCGAAACAAATCATTTAATCTTCAGACATCGTTGCAGAACTGATTGGCATTAACTGATGTCAAAACATTTAACGCATCATTTGTCTTATTTGGAAATTGAGAAGTATTCGACGATTTTTAGAATTTATACGACCGGCATTGCACCCGGTGGCGCAACGCGATATTGATATCGAACGCGAATGTGATGGCGCATTTCCTGATATATGATTGCCACGGATGAGGCCTACGCGCTATTTGGCCCTGAGCTACCTACACTCACCTGCCTGTACAGTCCCATAAGACTATCTCAGTGTTATTTAAAAAATTGACAGCTAATGACATAGATTGCAATAATTTAAACGTACATAGATTCTACCCCACACTTTATTTTCAGTTCTTACATTACTGTATGTGAATTAATTCATTATGTCTCCACAGTAATCAATTGATCAATGTAATTATATTAAATTGTAGGTAATTACATATAATGATCAGAATTCAAACAGAAATATTTGATAAATAATAGGATAATATATCTCGAACTTTTCCATGTAATGTTGTAGAATATTCATACTTGATTTATGAAACTCCTACAAGAATTCTATGATTCAGATAATGGAATTATTTTAAGCAAAATTACATTTTAAGTTCATAAAATTTCTCAAAAATAAAACAGTCTTTTAAGCCAAACACTCTTATGGAGCAGACTGTATTCCTCGTTCTTTTCTGACTTTTCGTTCTGTTTACTCTTCTCGTGGTTATGCGTGTAACCCTTTATGTAAATAGCGATCACGCGTGACGACCCACGCTGCGGACCCTCGATATGGCCACAACGCGGAACGATTTAAAAGTAGCGTCCGCGTCATTAAATCGACTCGATCCAATCGATCCCGAGGATCGTTTCATACGTAATGCTGCACCGTCATCAGTGGTCTTATTTGGAGAGTCGTCGTAATTTTGCAATATATAGACTTTAGCAAGTAACTTGTGAAGTTTTATTCTCGCATTAGAATTCTTTTCTGATGATATTACAGAGGAATTATGAATCAGTTGGAACCTTTGTTGGCTCGGTTCGTTATAGCCAAGTTCCATACTTTTGATAGAAGTTCGTTGTTGAAAGCAGGCTGCAATCTAGATGGATCACTGTTTTGTAACAACGATTTTCCAGCTCGTTGTATATGTATATGAAACGGAAATTAGAACCAAACTCGTTAATCATTCGACGATCTCGGAACTAGTTGAATTTTCCATTTTAAGCAAACATCGAAGTCAAAGAAACTTCGTTTTATGTAACACGAATGTAATTCGTAGTCGAGAAGAAAGTTTATTTTTACGTAACGAGTAGCGTGTCCATCAAATGTATAAACGAACCACTTTTCGATGAAAAGAATTGTTGTTACATATGATAACAATGTTTGATTACAGTAACAGATGTAGATTTTTAGTGACAAGATTTTCAAGAATATCTCCTTTTTATTTTCTAATTTGTTTATCTCGTTGATATTATAGTATTTGTAACAAATTTTTTCTGTTTATCATCACTAATTTTCTGATCTATATTTGAAAGAACTATTTTACACAATCAATTTTTACTCGACTCAAATGTGTCGATTAAGAATCAAAGTGGAAACGAGAAAAATGAACGTCAGTTCTTTTCGGTCTCGGTCGACGACCCGATCCAGGAACACGGCAACAGCTATGTCTAAAGGCTCTCTCGAAAACCACTCATAATGGATGAATCGACAAGTTGCACGCGTCATTTTCCGGCAGCGCGTAAGCACCGGACGGATAGTCCAGATCCCGGACGCGTAATCGTTCTAATTCCTGAAATCGTGGCTAGGCAATTTCCGTCTTGCTGGATAGAACGGCACACGTGACGGTGGCCCCGGCTTACTTCCTCGGTACGTTGCACGTGCATCGGCCGCGATGCGCTTTCAACTGCACGCACGTCTTTCCGCACGTACATAAGTACTGTATAGCACGCGGCGTAAACCGCCGCGAGCACCGATTTTGCGTGTCGCTTCGTCGCACGGGACCAATTTGTCGTACGGTACAGCTACCCAAAACGATTCCCGACCCACACGGCATGCGCGCACGCAAAAATTGCATTTTCATTATGCAGTATAAATGCTGTGAATATTTCTAGCCTGCACAACATTGTCAGTTAAATACCTTGAACTTTGAACTAAGTTCCAGATTTCAAATCCTGACGCAGTGACACAATGATATAAAATACAATAGAATAATTCATGTAACAGTATTTGAACTCAATTGCAATGCAAATGAATGCTTCCTCTTACCTTGCAGTTTATCTCAAATTTATTCAAGTACCACTGCACAGATGTTGATGCGAAACAATTCAAGTTATAGCTATAGGTCCTTACTACATAATTGTTCTGTATGCGTTCAGTTCTTTGCATAAGCTCACTGATGAAACCGTATGTCATATTCATAATTAATTTATCACTTTGTTCCACTCATTCCGCTAATGAGCTAATTGCATGCTGCGAGACAATAAATCGCGAGACTCATTAAATGAAACAACTTCAATTAAAAGAACGAACGAGTGCGAACGAGGCGGAATAGGGTCAAGTTCGGAGTTGCATCGCGCAAGGAAATCGGTGATTCATGCGGTAAATCTAAAAACGAGGGCTAGTGAACCTTGACATTTCTCCACCAAGAATTCGCCGCTACTTTTACTATTAACGAACTAATTAAGACAACCGAGGCGCTGCGGTTTACGTAATCGTTATTTTTAAAACAAACTTTTTTAGGTCAATCGATAATTTACGTTCCATTAACATTTTGCAATGTTATTATACGTATGAGAAAAACCAGTTTTATTTGTTGTTTATGATATTACGTGATCACTTTATTTATTATTTGGCTTATATCTTTTATAAAATTAATGTGAATAAGTATTGGATGTTCGTCTAAAGTCTTAATGGATGAGTATACATAGAATCACAATACACTGGAGTAACTAGTTACTGGAAGATAAATGGCCGCTATAGAAGCAAATATCAATGAAACGATGCCAATTAATCTAGTCCAAGCTCGACAAGATGAATAACGCATTAATTCAAGAGAAACGCTTCTACCGATTATCGAGCATGCTTATCAATATATTCAATATGCAAATTGAAAGACGTAAGTTGAGCTCCGTGACATGTCGTGCTTTATCAATTAGGTGAAAGTAATCTTTATTTACGCTTCAGTGAAACTATATTTTCCCCGATTTTGATCCTTCAACTGTTTCTTTTTAGTACCGATCGTTGTACCTAGTAAAGCGTTTCTTATGAAAATTATACGTAGCTTCGCTGATCGCAGTGATCGATTGTGGTTAAATCTATCATAGCCTCTAATCATCCGGATCTGATCGATGATCTTGGAATGCGTGTAAAGATTCAATCGATCATTCAAAGTACAGTTTTAATGTATTCAGTGG